CTCTAATTTCTACAATTTTTCCTGTATTTCGTCTTCTATAATTAGGGTATGAATTTTTTCCTTTAGTTGTTTGTTCAGCAAACTCCTTTGGATATTTAAATTACATTGACCCATTTTTTTCTTCATACAGGGGCTTGTTGGATTTAATTGCCCACAAGGACCATGCAATATGTGTTGTGTAACAAGCTTAAATAAATCGGGATTTCTTTTCGGGTCTGGCAATTCAGCACATACAAATTGGTCATATGCCTCGGGAGTTAATAGTTTGTATTTTTCATCGAGTATGATAAGGAAATGAGCATGCGAAAGTCCTCGTCCAAAACTTATATACCTAACGTGGAGTTGGAAGCAACGGAAGGAAAAAAGGAATGAAGAAGTCGGTTATATGTTAGGAAGTAAAGGGTAAAATAGAATTATAAGTAATAAGTTAGGGCATAATTGGAAAGAAAAATAAAAAACAATACCACCACACCAAATCGGTTGTTTCAAAAAATGGAACTTTTCATTGCTCCGGAACAACGGATTTAACAATACAATACAACCAATTTTAATTAAACAATCAAAACAAACATTATTTTGGGATAACAATACAATACGATACAATGGGCAACAACCATCCAAACAAGTTGTTAATGTTTCAATTCCTTTTTAAAACTTGAGTAATTACAAGCTGACTTTTGAAAAATTTTGGTATTATATTAAGGACTTACGTAGCAAATTTTGTTTTAACTTGAAAAAGTCTCTTGGGCTTACGGCTCACTACAAAAACGCGCCTCAACGCATGGGCATATGCCCCGAATATAATTGTTGGGTGTACGCCTCTTGTGACTTTCACCCTCTACCATCACTTTGGGGCATTTTTTGTGCACCTCGCCCCAAAGCTCGCCCCGAAAATACCTTTTAATACACTAGTTTCTACTACTATTCTCTATGTCACAAAGCTTCAGATATCTTCGTCTTCCTCATCTCTTCAACTTGTGCAGGTGCTTTTCTTATTCCTTAATATCAATTTTCTTGTTTTCTATCTCTTTCTCCTTCTTTTTTGTTTCAAATTCGTTAAAACAGAGTGAATTAATTACAGATTTTCGAGTTAGGGTTTTGATGGATGAAATTGGGTTTTTTTTTTCTCTGGTACAATCTCAGCCATCGTAGATTCCTCCGATTATTTACTGTTTTCAATCTCTTTATCTTGTTCTAATCTCAAGTACCTCTGATTTCTGTGATTCTGAGTTGATGATACTAATATAGGTGTAAGCTTAATAAAAAGAAAAATTGGGTATAACTTCATAGTTCTTAATAAAGTTTGGAGTTGTTCACTTCATTGGGAATCCCATTTCAACTCGTATAATATTTAGGGCTCATTTGGTACGAGGGATAAGGAATAATTAATCCATAGATTAAATTTAAGAAGAATTTATTCCATGTTTGGTTGGAAGAAAATTACAGTATAATTAATTCCGAGATTAGTTATCCCGGGATTGTAGTATTTTTTAATCCTCATAAAAAGGTGAAATAACTAATCCCGAAATAACTTCTTTCTAACCAAACGATCCCTTAAAGTTTAGTCAGTGAGAAGCTAAGTTCCGTTTGTTTAGCGTTGGCAAACTTGTTTAACCATCTTTAAAAAGAGTATTATTTAATCATGATTAATTGCATGTTTTTAATTCGTAATCTTCTGATTAAATTATCTAATTTGATGCAACAGCCAATATTGAGTGTGAACAAATACTTTTGGTAAGAAAGTGTGAATGATATGGTAATAATGGGGTTAGGAAACATGGGATTTTGGAGGGTTCGAAAACAACGGGTTTGAACAGTGTTTGGATTAGACTGTCTAAAAGGTTATCATGTCCGTCTAAAAGTCATTTTCGGTTGTGCACAGCTAACCGTGTGGCGTATGCTTTATTTTAATGAAAATGAACTCTATCCAGCTTGAATTTATAGTCACGTCTCAGTCCACTATTAATTCAATCCTATTTGAATAAAATGATGGATACCAACTTTGACAATTTCAATGAAATAGAAACGCATTTATTTGTAATTAAAAAAATAAATAAAAGATTTAAACAGAGAGTAATCAATTGTTCTCTGGTAAATCTTGTATGTATATTGTTGTGAACTTGTACCACTCAATCTAAGAGTCCGGAACCGAAATATGGTTCTTTTGGACTCAAAATACTTTTTTAGGTGGAAAAAAATAGTTACCATTTTATATAAAACGCGTTTATAAACCGTGTTTTACCTTAACGGCCTTTGGAACGTTAAGGTAAAATGCGGTTTATAACTGCGTTTTATATAAAATGCGGTAATGAACCGCGCTTTACTTGGAAGTTGATAAGACAACTATATAAAGCGCAGTTTATTACCACGTTTTACCTTAACTGTGGGCCCACCGATAACTCTTTTGCGCTTAACTGATATAACAATAATTCAAATATATAAAACGCTCTTTTAAGCTGCGTTTTACTTCCAAAATTTTGATTCCGCCNAACTTTGTGATAAATTTTTCTTATTGTCAAATTCTCAAGCTTTTTTTATAATGTCTGAAGCGCGAAAAGTAAGAGTTTCATTATATTGGGGGAGGGGGTGAAGTTGTGGTGGCGAATAACTCAGTGAGCTATAGTTTATCCCCACGGAGTCATGTTAAGTTGCCACTTACAATGGAGTACGATACACTGGTATCGTTGTTATGCAATAAAATGAGGTTGAGCAAACGTTCGGTGAATCTTAAAATAACGGGAAGATATTCGTATTCTGTGATTCCGCAAGAGGTTGCTTGTTACGCTGAGTTTAACATCGAGAATGATGAAACTCTGAGAGATTTTTTGGGAATTCTGGATGAATATCGGGAACTTATTTTGATAAAAATGTTGGAAATGTACGTGAAGGTTGAAGACGTTCACAGTAATGATGTTGCACAAAGCAGGGATAACCCCCAATCATCGGATGGTTATTCTGGAGCAGTTTTAGCCCAACATGTTCCGGCTGAAAGAGTTTGGCCGGCTAAATCTCTAGCTCGCGACGCCTTTAACCCTCGAATAGGCCTCCACGCACGCCGAATCTATCCAAAATCAGAACGAGAACGTCAAAATATGCTAAGAGAACAAGCCCAAGCGAAAACAATCAATAAAGGGCACAAATCCCGAAATTACCAAAACCCGGCTCCCGAGATCACGTCTCAGAATTCAAAAAATTTCACATCAACGGATTCCTTATCTCCCCACGAGTTCATACATACCAAGAACATCAAAATTCATCCACAAATGACTCTTCAAATCCCAAATGTTTGGTCTCCAATTTCAAGCCCTAATTCTTCAATTTTAGGCTTAGATTCCATAATTTTCTAGGTGAAATTCACATAATAATCAAGTTTTTAGTCCAGAATTCTTACCTCCAAACGTTTCCAATCCCTCTTTAATCTCCTTCAAAAATCTCCAAAAACGATCAACTATGGAGGAAATAAACCCAATCCTCGCGGACAAGACGAGTTTAAAAACATTCTGCCCAGGCATATTTTCCTTCATCACGATCGCGGAACATCCCTTGCGATCGCAAAGAACAAATCTTCAGCTCCCAAATTTACTCTATGCTAACGCGATACAGCCTACGCGAACGCGATGCCCAGGCGACTTAACCCTACGCGATCGCGAACACCCCTCCGCGTTCGCAATGAACAAAAATCAGCCAAGCTCTCATGTCCATTTAACTCTATGCGAACGCGACCACCTTCCCGCTTTTGCGATGAATAACCTTCCCACTCTATTCGATCGCAAGCCTCACTTCGCGAACGCGAAGAACAATTGGACAGCCTCCTCAAAACCTTCTACACGATCGTGAGACTCCCTACGCGATCGCGAGACTCCCTATGCCATCGCGAAGGGCAAAATCATGCAACAGCTAAACCTGCAATTTTCCGCAATTTCTCAACTTCAAAATGATCTGAATGACCACCCGAAACTCACCCGAGGCCCCCAGGACCTCAACCAAAGGCACGAACACATCCTAATACCTTATTCAAACTTGTTCCAATCACCAAAACACCTCAAACAACATCAAATCACTCAAAATATATCGGATTCAAGCCAAGCTTTTTAAAATCTTCTGAATTACGCTTTTGATCAAAAACCCAACCAAACCACGTCCGAATGACCTGAAATTTTACACACACATCCCAAATGACACGACGGACCTACTGCAACTCTCGGAATTCCATTTCGACCCCTATATCAAAATCTCGCCTATCAACTGAAAATCGTCAAAATATCAACTTCGCCAATTCAAGCCTAAAATTGCTCCAACCCTCCAAAACCCATTATGATCACACTCCTAAAACATAAATCACCTCCCGAAGCTAACAGAACCATCGGAACTCACATCCGATCCCTCTAACACATAAGTCAACATCTGGTTGACTTTTCCAACTTAAACTCACTCTAAAGAGGCTAAGTGTCTCAAACCTTACCAAATCCTTTCCGAATTCGATCCGACCAACCCGATACCACAAAACACGGATAACAAAGCATAAAAAAGCAGAAATGAGGGAATGGAGCGGTGACTCATGAGACAACTGGTCGGGTCGTCACAGTAGAGTTGTATGTCGGATTATGCACTAGTATATGGTTAAATTATTAGTTTTCGTCTTTCGCATTTCTGCTTATTATAATTATTCTGTTGTTGATCGCATGTTATATTGAACTGTTAAAAAGGCTAAGTAAAAAGGTTAATGAATCTATGATACTCGGCTTGCCTAGCTTTCATGAGTAGGCGCCATCACGACTCTCGGGAGTGAGAAATACGGGTCGTGACAACCTATAAGCAAACTTGAGACTACTACTTTCCCGGATGATTGTGTTGGAAATTCATGAAAATTTAGCAAATGAGACACAATTATATATAGCTAGCAATAAGGAGCTTCTATGAGAACAAAGAGAACCAAGAATATATTTCAAGTATCTGACATTCTCTATACCACATTTAAATTTTCAAGTCCCACAACAGAATTGGGTAATATCAGTTTATTTCATTCGTAAAAAAAAATGAAAGACAGAAAATCCACATAGTTGCAACAATAACTCGTCAAAGTTTTTCTCTATAATTTTAATCTCTCATGCTGCATGGTGAAAAAGGAGAAAGGAAAAAGGTGTAAAGAATTACAGATGTTAACCGTGTCAAACATTCGGCTCTCCGCTGTTGACAATATGATATACATGCATTCATAATTTTCTATTTTCTATGTTACCTCCGAAGGATGCATAAGAAACCAAAGACACAATCTAATTCATTGAAGTATTTTGTCATACACCTCGACGACAAAGAGTTTTTTATTTAAGAAATCAGATTCAGGCCACGAAAATAAAGAAACGAAAGTGGTCGTTAGCTTCAACACAAATACTAACTATATGAAAATATACAACACTGAAAATCTACTAGAAGTACAAATACATACCTTTATTCTACAATAACAAAGTCCTGCAAAAATAAAGAAGCAGAACCCCTCAAATTCAACAATAGGATAAATTCCTAAGCCTTAGTGACTCGAGTAGCAAAGAGGCTTTGCATTTCATCAAAGACGAATGGTGCAAAAGAAAAAGCTTACTTCAAATTATCAAGAGAGATATGTCCATTGAGCATACCATTCTTAACCCCTTCTTGACCTTATTCGCTATCCACTAAGGGTCGTGATGGTGCCGAACACCACTGTCAGGCAAGCCAACAATAATTTACTAGCAATTTCTCATTTTATTTATTTTGAAATCATTTCCTTTAAACAAATGAATAATAAATAATAAATTCCACTGAATAAATGAGGATGTCTTTACAAAATTTAATTACTGAAAAATCCTGTGATCATCCTAGAACCCGGTGTCACAAGTGCATGAGCATCTACCAGTGAATGAAATAAAACACAATGGTTGTCCCGAATACAAGTGGACAGAAATGAAAATGCAATACAATACTCTGAAGGAGACTCTACTGGCTACGGTCGTCTCGATAAATGCAACTTACCTGAGTCTCCGTATCAACCATGTCGCTATTCCACTAGCCACACATAAACCTGTGCAACAAAAATGCATAACAAGTGTAGTATGAGTACGAAAATAACGTGTACCCAATGAGTATCCCGTCTAATCTCGAAGAAGTAGAGACGAGAGGTCGACTTCGACATTTACTAGTGGTCCAATAGTAATATATTATTAATGCGAGTAATCATGGACTTATTAAGAACAACAGTAAATTCAAATAAGTCACGAAACAAGTAAGAGTTCCTTTTTTTTATTAAAAGTCTCCGGATTCATAATTCATTAATTAACAATTATCTCAAGTCGGGGAGAGCAAATATCAATATCAATAACTCTCAAGGCAAGCAATACAAGCATGCGCAATTCATGCGAGGTTGTACGACCCGATCCAACAGAAATGTAAAATGTGCACTGCCGAGGGTCGAGTGGCTCGAACCATAGATGCATCTATTACCCCGCTCGTGAATCATCCATGCGACGCGGTCAACATAAAATAAACAAACACCTTGCTCGCGAATCATACATGCGGCGCAGGTACACATAGATACATGTATTTGGAATCTTATAGTTGTTGCCAAATTTCAAAGCTGCGATTCATGAGAATTACTGGACAACTAAAGAAACCAAATATCTGTAACCAAAACTTGAGTGAACGTGGCAGCGCAACCAACAAATTAACCAAATAAGAGAGCAGCTCTAAATTCAAAGCTTTAAGTGAGAATCAAACTTGAGTAAAGAAAAAAAAGGACGGTGGTGAATAAATTTCTGATTTCACAACCAATATTCTACAGTTTTATACACATTCCTAAGTAAAATAAAATAAGAAATCCAACCTGCTAATCCAAGCCAGCGATAGCGGAGAAAGCATCTAAGCACTCAGCATAACATCAAGCTTCAGTATTCATCTTTCGACTCAAGTTAACAGAAATAATATTCTGAACACAATAAAAAGAATACATATGGGGATAATAAAAAGAGAATATTTCCGTTTTACTATCTGATAATTTACTAACGCCACCATAGATAGAATTTACCATAAATTGCAAGAAAATACACTTAACTCTCTAAATTGAATTACAGAGGAATTAAGTACAGTAACAGAAACCAACTGAGACGACGAACATGAAAATAGTGCACTTACCTTAGGAGAAGTATCATGTTGGAATCCCTATTTGAATAATTCCATAGCGACCCAGGCAATTATCCCACCGCCTTCTCTCCTTTGCTAGGTTTAGGGGATACCAAAAAAGCAAAATTCGATTTTGCAATCAAATCAAATACATAAATATAACAATAAAATATGCCAAAGAAATCAAAGCAAGCATTAGCACATAAAACAAAAGTAAAACAAAGAGGATGAAAATAGGAATCGAACAAAAGAATAATTCCAAACAATATTGAAACATGCAAGAAGATTGCGCTGGTATTACCCAAAATTTTCCACGTGGGCTGAAACTAATTGATAGAGCAAATTCCCAATAATATCTTTTCAATTTTGTGAATCGATGTTGGAATGGGACAACAGAAAGTGGGAATTTTGTTCTACTGGCAAAGAATAAAGAATTTTGGGGATCAAATTTGGAATCAACAGAAAATGTGAATTCTGCCGAATTTGGAGTACAATGAAGTGCACTATTTAGCTTTGGTAACTGGCAATTTATCGCAAAATTGAATAAAAACAAACCTGCAGGTAGAAGCAATTTGAGGCATAAAATGAGGTGTCCGTTCAATTCCACCTATAAGAGACACGTAGTTATATTAAAGTATTTAAATAACAAAATTACCCTTAGATTTGATTTTTACGACACAAAACAGCTATCTCGAAACCACTAACTTTTCTATATAATATATGTTACATAATTATAATTCTTGTATGTTACTTTTCATGGGAGAAGAGTAAATTACCGTGTGTTGTTAATGAAACTAAAGTAACTAACTGATCCAACAATTTTATGGCTAATACTAGTGAGTGTATTCGCGCTTCCGGTGATTATTAGATTTTACGAATATCAAAAAATTTAAAATTTATTTTGTGTTCAAATTCAAATATTTCAAGTCTTAACCAATTATATTATTAGAGCTGTCAATATGGGCCGGACTGCCCAGCCCGGCCTACGTGGGCTTTAGCAATTGACGGGTTGGGCTGGGCTAGCCCACCATTTTGATAGGCCTTATAATGATCAGTCCACACCAGTCCTATGTGGGCCGAGGGCCCCCACGGGCCGGCCCATCATTTTTTAAAAATATAATTTTATATTTTTCTTTAAGTTCTAACCTAAAAAAAGATAATTATTTAAAAGTTAAAAAATATCTTATTGGAAAAAATTCGCAAAACTTAATAACTTTTTATATTGTTCCAATATATCACAATAAATACTAAAAAAAAGAAAAAGACATGACTATATTTCATTCACTAAAAGTCAAAACTTAAAACAAACTATTCAAGAGAACGCTCATGATGCTTATGAGATATTCAACACATCATCTTCATCAAACACATTTGAATCCGCTTGTGACAAGGTTGTCTTAACATCTTCACTTTTATCTACAATTCATATGCAATATTAATTAGTTAATTATTAAAAATAATTAAATTTTAAAAATTAATAATATTTAAATTCACATAAAAAAATATTACCAGTTTGAGTTCGAGAAAACCTGTGCAACCAATTTCAAGTAATAACAGGTGTTTGGACATATTCATAATAAATGCAACTTCTGTACTTTGTAAGAACACGCCATCAATGCTAAATGTTGATTCCGATGGTACAATGGTAATAAGAATGCTAAGTACATCACGCACCATCATTGAAAGGTCGGGATATTTTTTAGAATGGTCCTTCCAATACATGACAACATCTTCTCTTGAAACTTCTCAAGATCAAGTTTTGGTTCCTTTTAGTAAAGATCCAATTCTGACTTTCCATCTTTAAAGACAGTATACTTTTTATTTACTATATATTTTAAATAAATATTTTATTTGGCCCACGGGCCGGTCCGGCCCAGCCTCAGTCAAGCCTCACGGGCCACGGGCTTACTCGGGCCGGGCTTAAAAGCCTCGTTTTTAAACGGGCTCCAAAAATTCTAGCTCAGCCCTGCTAAATCACGGGCTGGGCTGGGTTGGCCCAACGGGCCAAGCCCATATCGATGGCTCTATATATTATCCACACTTAGCTTTATACATTTTATATAATTTTCCATCACTTAGAGTTTTTAGTCTTCAAAAATACTTGATTGTTGTATAATCAATATAAGTGAAAAAATACTTTTATTTTTCTCGAAAGAAAGTAAAGAAGGAAAAGAATTTCAAGAAAAACTTCTTCCGTACATATGTTTAACAAATTCAAGACATGGTTAGTTCGTTGTACATTTATTATGTACATATAAATACTTAATTATAAGAATCTGTCTGTAATTTTTGTCTTTTATTTCCATTTTTTTTTCTTTTTAAACCCTTTTATCTTTAACTTTTTCCTTTTTTTCTCCCCCCTTTCTTACTTCTCTACCCAATCATTTTCTTTAAAAATGTCGAATCTTTTTTTCTTTTTTCAACATCCTAATAATAAAGATAACTAACCAAAAAATAATAATATACAAGTCTTAATATAAACTATGAAAAAAAATTTAATAATAGTGCATAAAAATATACTCCATTACAGGATATGATTATTATTTACGCATTGATTATCTAATTTAATTAGAGAATACGAAAAGAATCAGTTTAATTAGTGAACAAATAGTTAGCAACTTGAAAAGCACCAACATTTAATAATTTTTCTTTTTTGATTATTGGACTTAAACAAACTTTCTTAGAATCCTTGTATTAATTTGATGCATGTCTTCTTCGTGCTGCTAGCCACTTCCTTATTTTTCAATTTCGTTTTACCATTTGGTCGTTTTAATGTTTCCTTAGTGAATTATGTTTGGTTGATGATTATTAGGTAACTATGAAGATGAATCTTTCCATAAAACACTCATATACAATTATGGGATTGGTGAAAGACAACAGGAATAATCTTCCATCACATGCAATATTTTTTTTAGTTGGACACCGAAACAATTACCAAGTGGAGCAATCCAAAAGACAACAATAATATCCATGTTAACCCCCTCCTCCCCCCACCCCCCACCCCAAAAAAAAGCAACAATAAAATTAAAAGATAAGAAATTAAACAAAAGAAAATTTTCCTTGCACACAAGTAATTTCTTTATTTTCTTCTTTTCCATAAAAATATGATCGACTATCCTTCAACCTCCAATGTAAATTGCAGGAATATTTACATATTATAAATATTTACTAATCTTCTTTGCTAAACAAAAGATTAGAGAGCCTAAATAAGTAAAACAACTGGACAAATCTATTACATGTTTAACTTTTTTTGGTTTCTCAAGTTGATCTTAACTTAACAACATAATACGGTTCAAGATTTCCTCCAAGCCAATATTATTATCTTTACACCATAAGACCACTCACTCTCCTATATAAAATGGAAGCTTCAACTCCGCTTTCAACAAAAGTTGAAATTCCATTATCATTAGAAAACAGTAATTATAGTAAAATTTAAATTCATTAAACCAATGAAAGAAATTAAATGTCCTCTTCTTCAGTTTGTTTTCAATTCCACAGTAAATGCTACCATTTCTTGTTAAGCAGCTACGTTTTGCCTCTATTTTCAAATCACTGAATTTCACAAACAGATTCCAAAATCATACTGTGTAAAAAAAATATGAACTTTGCACGTATAAAGAAATTAAAACAAATAGGAATAGGAAAGAAGTTTATGAACTTAGAGAGTGAATCTAATTACCTTGAAGAAAAACATTCAATGTTAAGGTAGATACCATCAGGTGTACCACGCTCATAATGTAGATGAGATAGCACGAATTACCAAAATCTAGCAAAATGAGTAAGAAACAATTATGGGACTCAAAAGTATAAGCTTTTCAACAAAAACGTAGGCATATTTTTTGCAAATAAGGAAATGGGTCAATTTGAATGTGCTGCGAAGATGGAACATTTATATAAATTCAATCAAGATAGAATATCCATGCTAACACATGAGTATAACAGTACAAATGACCCAAAAAAAGAAGAATATAACAGTGTAAATTATGACTATGCAATAGAAAAAAATAAGAATACCGTAGACCTCACTGGTGTACTTGAATCGAATTTCAGATTCTATAGCACACTTATCGAACTTTCAGATCCTACAGTACACCATTAAGTGCCAAGACAATATGCTGGAGAATTTTTCAATGCACATTTTAAGTTAAAATTGGATCATATCTTGATAGCAAAATGAGATTTACGTTATATTGTCCTTTTATCTCCTACCTTTGATGCATTAACACACATTAGTAAAAAATAATTAAAGGAGAGGGGAGAAGAACCATAACGTTTTGAGAATTTAACATAGATTTTTTGGCTTTTTAATATAAGCTAAACTAATAGAATGGAGAAAGAAAAAAAATCAAAAATCCAGAAAAAAGATAAATATGAAAGCTGCCCAAATAGGGATGCTACATCAGCTGACCAATTCCCAGCTTTATATTTATATATAGATTTAAGAGGGCACGGTGCACGTAAGTCAAACTTTTAATTAAAGAAAAAAGGAAATATTAATGATAACTCCTGTTGAGGTGGCATGAAGTTAGACTTTAAAGAGCATTGGGTAGTTCTTTTTTCTTTGAACAATAAGGACGTAGAATTTGCAGTATACTCAAATATTTTGTCTATTAAGAAATAGTTATATGATTAATTTTTTTAAATGTAAAGTTATTTTAAATGGTAAAAATGTTAATCAATATATATTCTGTATAAATAAATAAGAGAATAGGAAAAGGAGGTACTTTAGAAAAAATTCATAAGTAAAATAAAATAACAATCGAGCAAAAAATATACGAACTGTTAATAATAATCGAGTTCGGATGCTTGTGTGATTACTAAGGTATCAATAGAATAAGGCTATAACTTTAGTTATCGTAAAATGAGTAAAATATGAGTAAAAACTTTAGAATTGATGGTAAACTATCTTGAAGCAAATTTGCAATAAGTAACATAAAATATACATGCAATGCACGAACCCAAGTCCTCAAATAAAGTTAAACTATCTTTTTAACTTTCAGTCAAACGCTACTCTTGTGACCTTTTTGACAATAAACCAAGTAAGAGAACAAACTGATGGAGACTAATAGACTAATCTTTTGAATATTATTTTATTTCTTAATTATTGAGTTATTATATATGATCATCTTTAGTAACTTATACTTTTATTTTATTATTTAAACATAAATTTTAAATAAATTAGAATTTATTGAGATAGAATACACGCACATCGCGCATATCTTGAGACTAGTAGTATGAAAAATGATGCATTAAGTAACATAAATGATAATAAAATGTAAATAAAGGAAGAGATTCACTCAATCTTGAGTAGGGCGGATCCTCTTTCATTTGATAAAGAAGAATGATAAATCGATACAAGAATCTTAAGACCCTTTTCGGGTCCGGTGAAGGGTGTGGGATCATAGATCCTATAATCTCTTTAGAGAGGTGTGTTTACATATTTTTTAGAGAGAGCGAGAGGGAGAGAGATCCCTCCTTTGGGAAGTCCCCTCTTTCTATTTATAAGGGGTATCCCTAAAAAACCCTAAAAAAGTGCAATTAGATGGAATATCCAGTAGAATAT